TTTTTTTTTTTTTTTTTKGTCRCTGATAAGAGGCTGAATCTGATTCAGAGGAAGATGCTCCTTGCAGGAGGGAGGGCAGCGAGGTTTGGCCACCAGGAGAGTCAAGCCCCACTCGCACATATGGCCCCACAGGCTGTAAATCGCCGGCTGCACTGGGCAGGCTTTTCTCTCCCTGCAGGTTCTGTCCGTGCCAGCGTGCGCCGGGAATCGCCCGGGTTTTCTGAATCACTGCGCGCTCCACCCAGCCCCGCTGCGCGCCCGCATTGCATCTGCTGCGCCCGCATTTAGGGGCACCCCGGCCCTCAGCTTTTCCATGGGATCCTCCCCGCTGCACCCCGGATGAGCCCTGGCGTTGGGGCGCCCCACGGCAGCGCCCGCTCCCTCCCAGCTGCTGCCGGCCAAGCGTAGGGGAAGGAAGAGCCATCTACTAAAAATTAAAAAAAACCCTGCTTTTGGCTGGAACTAAGTTTTTCTAAAGCTTCTCATTCCCAGCAGTGGAGGTTTTCGTTTTGCTTTAAGCTGTAATTTCATTTGCTTTTTCAGTCCAGCCGGCAGTAATGGAAAACATATAAGTTGAATGGATCGGCTTCCGTTGATCAAAATGGTTTGGGAATATTTTCCATAAATCAGGCTTTTGAGCACATTTTCCCACCTCCCACTGCATGCACAAGCTGGTGCTCAGCTTCCCCAGCCCTCCGGAATGAAAAGAAATGGGAATAAATTGCCATTCTCCAAAGCTGCTGGGGATGTTGCAGCAGCATCCAGCTGGTAAATCCTCTTGGAGAAACACGCGTGGACACATTGCTCGGAGCTGGGAGAGCTCCTGGAGCAAAGGGGAGGGAAATGCAGCTTACCTCCCTGCGCGTGCCGCTCGCCGGGGGCACGATGTCCATGCTAGTGTGCAGYGGGAGCAGCCAGGAGGCTTTTATTTGCCCCAACTTTGGTGCGAAGCCTCAGCCCCGCGGGTTCCTCTCCGAGCTCCAGCATGTTGAGGGGAATCTCGGAGTGCCGAGATCCAGGCGGCATCTGCAGCCCGATGCAGCGGCGTCTGCAGAACAGGAAATCCTGTATTTTGCTTCTCTTTGCCACACAAATGTGTACGGCTAATGACGTTAAACAACTGGAAAGACGCTGACATCATTTGAGCGACTGCAATGTGATTTAGGACTTGGACACGGATCTCTCTGTGCAGAAACATGTGGGATTTCTACCCAGTTGCCTCGGTCAGGCTGTTCTTGCTTTTATGTGCAAACACTTGTCTGCTAAAATAACTAAAAAATCTGCAAAAAAAAGGGTTTCAGGAAATACTCACTAAGTAAAGCCACAAKGTCGAGCAGTAGAAGCTCAGTGGAAGGCAGCAATTTCCCTCCCTTTCCTCCCTTTCTTGCGGGTTTCATTAACTGTGGGACTATACAGGCTATAGGCTAAAGCGTTTAAGGGTTTGGGCTTTATTCCTGAAATAACATGGTGGGTTAAGGTGGAGAGATTCCCRAAACGCTTTCCGAAAAAGCATCCATGGCTTCCAGCTTCATCCGTGTCTTTCTTCTTTTTGCCTCTGTTAACTCCTTCCCTTTGGACATCTACAAAAATATATTTTATATATATACMTGTATATATTAATACAGGGTGTATTTGCATAAATATGTGTATGTGTGTGATTGTTAATATATATAGGTGTGCGTGAGGGGGTTTTAATTCTTCTAGTGCCCACAGGAGACTTGAGAAAGAAGGGTCCTTTTCCAGGCCTTGYGATCAGTGGGTGCGTAGTGTGACATGATGTCCCACCGTCTGCAACGCGCTGCTGCCACCCTTCCCTTCCTTACTGCATTCAGTATATAAATAAAAACATTTTTGCTARATTTTTTAAAAAGTAGGTTATTTGGCCCCTTAAAGGATGTAGAAACATAGTGAGGAGCAGCAGCCAAGAGGAAGCGGCTGGAGCGTGTGTTGGAGGTGACGGTCCGGTGGGAGCTCCAGGCTCCGCTGCCCCGCTCCGTGGCTCGGGTCCCTGCACATGCAGAGCGGGGGACGGCAGCCCCGGCACCGCGGGCCTTTTCTGCCCATTCTGCACGGAAAATGCAATCGGGGGGGACAARTAGGTCAAATAGCAGCACTTATAGATGTACCTAGGGCTTTGCACGGCCGCATGCTCCACTGCAAATGAAGCCTGTAGAGAGGAGCCTGCAGCTCTCCATCCTGGTCCTGCCCGGAGTCTCCTGCGCGCGCAGCGTTTTCGGGAGCTGTTGTGGAGCCCTGCAGCAGGAGCGATGCTGGGGCCCCCAGACATGCAGGAGACATGAGCATTGCCCCAGCGCATCCCTCTCTCCGCACTCCAGCCGCATCTCCCAAGCAAAAGGGCATCTTATCAGGATATCCGGGCCGGCCTTCCTCCTGCGGCGCCCCAGGAACGTGTCCAGCATCCTCTGCAGCCGGCTGCTCCTATTTATAGACAGCGATGTGTCCAGCTGGAGGCTGGGATCACGGTCATTCCGGGCTCTTCTTCAGCTCATCCTCCTCGCTGCTGTGCAGTGCAGGAGAGGGTGGCACTCCTGGACCTGGAAGGTCAGGGTGCTGAGCACCAACCCCGTCCCTTCACCACATGCTACACAACCTCTTGGTTCTACTTGAGACCTCAGGTACATTTTTACTTAGCTCTTCTGTCTCCTTACTGATGCAAACCTGCATATTTTACACTATTTTACATTTTACTTTTTGCATGCTTAAAGGCAGAAGATAAAAAGGAGTTTTAAAATAACCGAGAAGCTTTATCTAAGGCCTTTGATTCTTTGCCTTGATACTGGTATCCTGTGGGCAGGAGGCCAAGCGCGTGTAAGGGCATCTGCTCGTATCGGACAGGATGCACCTGAAGGATGTATGGAAAAACAAGCYCGGGCTTTGGAGAAGGAAGAGGTCTTATCCGCAAAGAGCAGCCCACCCTCGTGCAGGGAGCTGGGGAGCCCCAAGACGAGCATCTCCTCAAGCATCCCTGGGGGATTCACAGAGAACGGGAAATTTCCTGTGGGGAGAGCAAATSGAGCTGGGCTGCTCACTGAATCCTGCCTCTGGATCGGAGGCTTGGGGAGAGCCTGTGTCCTGGGAGCTGTGCCCTGATGCTGCTTTTTTTCCGAATGCTTTTGACCCATTCCCATAGACTTGCGTTGGGAGAGGAATTACCTGGGCTGAGATGTGGGTTAAGACGGGACGATGTTTTCTTTAGCTAGCAGATGCATTAGTTCTGGACAAAACAGAGACTCTTCTTGCCACCACAAATACCAGGGAAAGGGAATATCTGACTGCTCTCATGAACCTGAGGGACTTAAGTCCCAAAACATGGCTAAATCCAATGGCTAAATCCAGTTGTACTTCAAAAAAAAAAAGAAAAAGAACACTAAAATCTTCGCAGAATCACAGAATGATGGAGGTTGGAATGGACTTCTAGAGATCATCTAGTGCAACCCCCCTGCTCAAGCAGGCACACTCAGTCAACTGGGGCGAAAACCTTCCTGTACCTGGCAAGCGAAGGACAACAAAGGCTGGTGGTGGCCAATGCGCTGGATCATCTGAAGGCAGCTCCGTGGTCTGTGCGATGGAGAAATAGCTCTCGTTCAGCTCTATGCGTGCAAGTGGTAACTATGAAATCAGGCTTACTTTTACCACAACGCGTTTATTTTTAAAGCATCATTTTTTTGGAAAGAACCACAACAACGAAAGTAGAACAAGCTACACATCTACCACAGAAATGTCTTCAACTTGCTTTTCCTCCATAAATGCAGGATTATTTGAGAAGGAATTTATAGCAAGGAGTTCCCAGCCACGTGCTAGGTGACCAAGGTCTACAAAAACCCTCAAAACAACCATTGAAACTAGAGTCTTGGTCACAAGTGGTGTTGTACAGGGTCTAAGTCGTGAGGAAGTTGCCGAGTTGGCAGGAATCCCTTTACACATGCTTAGCTATCCCTGAGCATCAACCTCTGCTTAAAGGGATTATTTGCAATGTGTGAGCATGTGTATGTATAACATTGGATAACAAACTACCCAGTTAAACCAGTGGAAATATTTCCATTGGCTTCCATGGGAGATGGACTGTTCACTYGGCAGCTTTCTCTTTAGAAAACTAGAACAGCTTGCAAGAACATATTGTTTTTAAAAGCTCTTTTCTTCACATAAGCACATTTCAAGACTAAATTCGTCATGCCATAGACCTTAATCATCCTTTAACAAATGGGAGAACTAGGGTAGCTTATTCTATTGGAAGGGCAYGTATGTCCTCTGTGTCTTCCAGAGGAGCTCTGGTGTCACGGTCCTTCAAACCTGCCTGTGTGCCATTCCCCACTGCTCTGTGTGCAAAACTAATGCACAGAAAACCTTTGGTTGAGCTGAACCATGAGTGGAATTAGGTGGGCAGATTGCAATTCTACTTAGCAAGTATTTCTGAGGTTTCTTATATTTTATAGCAATGTATGAAATGCTGCCACTGATGTGGCCTGAGAGTTGCTGCGAATGCTTTGGAAAGCTCCAGGTTTTCCTGAGGGTGTAAATCACTGCTGCAACCATCCCCAGCAATCCACATGCAGAAACTCTTGAAGTGTCCCAGAGCAGGGAAACGTGACCTAAAAACTGACTTATATAAAGCACTGCAGGAGTAAATCAAGCTGCGCCTCGTGCCTACTTTTCATGTGCCCACAGTTAATGAAGTCGTAAAAATGTAACCGTGAAGATCATGAGAGTGGCCAAGGAGCAAGCTCAGGAGGCGATGAGAAGGGGCAAACACAGAGCGTGGGGATGCAGAGCAGTCGCTGATCGTTTGGGGCTCTTTGGGGGCATTGCATGTTTTCAGTGGAGAAGCCCCTTTGGTGGATGTCAGTGCACGATGTCCCCAGTGGGTCACGGAATCACTGAAACTGGGGAATTAGGAGAGGAGCTGCTGGGCCGTTGCCACCGCCTCGTTGCAGACACCTTGTTGCTCCTTCCAGCACTTCCCTGGTGCAGTGATGTCCTGCGTGGGCACCRGCCACGTCCCACCTCAGGTCCCACATCAGCCACAAACACACACTGCTCCTAAATGCATTCTCATTTTGTGCAAATCAAAGGATTTCCACTGCCCCGAAATCCCCTGATAAAACAAACCTGCAGGATCTTCTGTAGAGGTCGGTAGATGCACAACATCGCAGACAGTTTTGGGTGGCAGGTGAGATGTTTGGCTACTCTTTTAGGCCTTCTTTTCATTCCTTAATCGAGGAGGCGCTTTCTTTGCTCATGAGCCGGCTCCTGATGACCAGGCTGCTGTGTCTGGATATCTGATCCTGAAACTCCGAATTCATAAAGAAATACAGGATCGGATCCAGACAGCAGTCCAGGCTTGCGAGACACAAGCAGAAGGGCTGGGTATAGAGAGTGATGCTACGTAAGAAACAGTCCGTAATAACATTTTCTTTCACCATCATGTAGAAAAAGAAGTTGATGTGGTACGGTGCAAAGCACACGAAGAACACAACGGCACACATGGAAACCATCCGTAGGGCTTTCTGCCTCTCGACGCTGTTTTGGGACGGGATCTGGAAGTCGCGAAGGGAGATTTTTGTCTTCCAAGTGCAGAACAAGATGATGACAAGAGGGCCCACGAAGCCGAAGAGCTCCGCCGTCGCCGTCATCAGCACYGTGGCCACCTTGCTGTCGATCTGCCGGACTTCCAGGTCGGCAAAGCAGGTGCTGGTGCTGTTGGCCAGGCCGTAGCTGCGCATGATGGGGAAGGGGGAGCAGGCGGCGCCCACCAGGAGCCAAACGGCCGCGCTGATGGCCGCGTCGTAGCGGCGCTTCCAGCCCTTGGCCCTGAACGGGTGGTACAGGAAGAGGAACCGCTGGATGCTGATGCACGTGAGGAAGCAGATGCTGGCGTACATGTTGAGGTACTTCAGGTAGAAGCACAGCAGGCAGAGGAACCTCCCGAAAGGCCACGTGTGGTTGATGTAATAGTATATCCGCAGCGGCAGGGAGAGCACGTGGGCCAGGTCRGCCATGGCCAGGTTGATCATGAAGATGACGGCCTTGCTCTTCTTGCTGATGAAGCGGCACAGAACCCAGAGGGCAGCGCTGTTGGCCAGCAGCCCGGGGATGAAGATGATGGTGTAYGTGGTGGCGTACAGGCTGTATTTAAATGTTATCACGGGATCAGGGCAGGTCCGGTTGCTCTGCATCACGACGGGACCGTTGGACACGTTCAGCGYGGGATAGAGTGGATGACTCATTTCTGCAAGGAATAAAACCAAAGATTGTAAAGGCARGGGCACTGAAGGAGTTAAATTTGCGTTTCTTATTTGATTGTTTGGTAGGAAGTAGAAGTTTGGAGATGTCTCCCCTGTAAARCCTCTTGCTTTATTCTGCAAAGGGATCTTCTCCAAGGTCTCCCACCACTGCTGGGGATTTTTCAGGCTACCTTAAATATATTTAAACAAGATACAGTTTCAGGAGCTGAAATAGGCACTGTCTCAAAAACATCAGCGTGGGTGAAGTAGTCCCAAGCTGCTACACCAAGGCTGTAGAAGCTGCTCAACCTAATCTGATCCCAAGCTTCCATTTCTCATCTCCCCAGCACCCTCCGCCCTAACACTTATATTCATCGGATAATTTTATTGTGAGATATTTCGAACTTCTTGTTCTCCTTGGCTTCAGATGAGTAGAGATGGCCAAATGTCACAGACGTGGCTGCTGGGCCTTCATTCTGCTCTCAGCAGGTTTAACTGGGGCTTCTTTCCAAAGGGTAACCTGAGCAAGAAGACTTTGTTTTCATGGAGTATTTCCCCACAGGGCAGTTATTCTTGGTACAGTGATTCCCTCCTCTGTCTAATTTAATGGTTAAAAAAAATTTGAATGTCAGCATCCCATTTCATGTGGCTCCACGGACACTGATTCACTGCTTGTGACTCATCTTCTGCAAGCATCACTTACAAGGGGCATTTGCCAGAAAAAGTGTCTAGCTAGGTAGATATTAGTAACTCGCATCCTGTTACTAATGGCTTTTTTTTCACACTATAAAGACAAAAACGGAAAGAGTTGAGAGTTTGCAGTCGCAGAGAGCACCAAGAGCTGTTCTTCTCAGCTCGGGGCCGGTTGCGGTGCTGGGAGCTGGCAGCTGGTCCAGGCTCTGCTGGGGCTGTTGTGGGAGGGTTGTAATTCAGGCTCTGGTAACACTTGCGCGTGGCGAGGTCCTGGCCCGGGACGCAGCCCGAGCTCAAGGGCATCGCCCTGGCTGCCGTGCACAGCGGCCGGCGGGGAGGAAGCGCTGAGGCCCGCGCCCCGGGGCCCCGCCGAGCCCCGCTGCCAGCTCCAGTGCCTCTCTGCTTCAACTTCTCTTCCCTTGAGTCTCATTTTTCTCCTAGTCTTCCAAAAACAAGCACCCTGATTTATCTTCTGCAGCACCGTTGGCTTTAGCAGACGGGCTGCATCCTGCAGAAGCACCAAGTCAATGACATGCCATGATCGAGAAAGCCCCAGTTTTGCACCCAGGCATTCCTCCTTTTCGGGAGGAACACACCTCCTTTGTCCAGCTGAAATGGCATCTTTTGCATTGCACCCCAGGGCTTGAGATGGCTTTGAATTTCTGGAACCCAGAAGGTTTGTGCTTCCTTTCTGCCCGTGTCTGCAGCTCTAGGTGAACACATGGCCCTGTCCCCATCCTCAGTGACAGCTCTGCTCACTGCAGCCCATTGCCGCCTCTTCATGCGACATCCTTGCTTGGTAAGGACCCACTGAGCCGTTGCTTTAGAGTTCATCTGCTGTTTGCACTTCCTTGGGTGTCAACATTGTGACCCATGTTTCTCCAAAAGCCATGAGTGCCAGGCGGCCACTTAAATCGTGGAGGGTCGGGTTCCATTTTGAGGAACATCACTGCTGAAGAAGCAGCCGCGGATCCGTGTTCCTAAGGAGACTGTGTCCAATGAGTCACCACAGTCCGTTTGCTCATGGGTGTCACTATAGACACTCTCAGCCTGTACTTACATGTCCCACGCCAGCCATGGGGTGAGCAGGGGGTGTTCAGGGCAAAGCCACCTACCCCACAGGGCACATCTGGAGGAATGGGTGGACAATGGTGCATGCACACACGTGGTGTCAGGCTCAGCCTGTGCCTTTGGGGACACAAAGTCCTGCTGCCGCAGGGACAGGTCCCCACCGGCTCCTCTCCCTCTGCTAATTGTCCACAAGGTGTCAGAGCTCATCAAGATTTCGGTTCTCGCCCCGTTTTGGAACAGTCCCGCAGCAGGAGCAGCCTGAGGTGGCACCACTACCTGTCCCCAACTTGGTCTTGCTGCTCTGGGCACCTGCAGCAAGGAGCATCCCCAGGCGCCTTCCTGACCTTCGTCCTGCTCTTCTTCCTCAGATTGGAGCCACATCCCTCCTCGGTGCCCCTTGCTGCTCGCCCACACACGCAGGCAGACACAGGAGCACGTGGTGAAGGTGACCCAAAACGAGCCCTTCTGCTTGCAGAGCTGCTCAGAGGGCTGAGGCGGCTGCTGTGCGATGCACAGGAAAGTCAGGGGCTGAAATGCTCCCTCCAACCTATCCGTCCTGCTCCTGTGTTGCAGGGAGTCAGCGAAAGGCTCTTCTGAACCAGCCTCCTGCTGAGACCTTGCTTTCAGAACGTGCCATTCCAAAAATAAATTTAAAAAAAAAAAAAAAAGGTACTAAAAAATCACCAGTGCTTTTTGACTAGGAGTTTTGTACTTTTTAAAAAGAGTCTGTATTCCCGGCGTTGCTGCAGTAAGGAAAGAATTAAGCATGCAAGCTCTTACTTGTAGCTGGACGTTTGGAAACTATTATTTCGTGGCATTTCCAGGAAAAGGATGTTCCTCATGATGGGGCTGAGAAGCCCGGGAACGGCGTTCACGAGGCCTCCGTCCTCCCGCCGTGTCCATCGGCGGGCAGGGCAACCGCTCCAAGGAAGGCGGCGCTGCCCTTCGCTGCACAGCTGCGGGGGTGTCACGCGATCGCTCTCGCACTGAAGCCTCCGCGGGCACGAGTGGAAACTTCGACAGTTAAGAAGTTGGGTTATTTTTTTTTCCTGTTTTTCTTCTTGCAAAAAGAAGAAGAAGAAAAAAAAAAAAAGTGCATATCTGGGTTGCCTGATCTGCAGGGGTGATATGTGTTCGGTTTGGCAACGCTCATCTAATTCTTGCTTCTGCAGCCCTAGCAGCTCAAGAAGCTGCRGGCACGAGCAGGAGGTGGAGGGCAGCCCTGGCCCGGGCTCTCCCTCCTCCGGACGAGGGTCATCCCGGGCATGGAGCTGCCCTGCGGATGAGAATCCAGGTTTGGGGATGCTCTTGGCAACTGCAAAAATGCCCTGAAGCCCGAAGCMCGGGTTGGATTCATTCTCCTTGCAGCCGTGCCCATGCAGGGTGTCCCTGTCTCTGTTGAGTCTTGCTGGGACGGATCTCCGGTGTCCCTGGAGYGGGTCTCTGGTGTCCACCAGAGCTGAGCTGCGGCTCAGGGGAATTTCCATCTCATCAGGCTCATCATCCCATCTTTGGCTGGGAATGGTGCAAAAGCATCAGCACCGAGGTGAAGCTTAACCTGGGTGAACGTGAAGGCGAACGCGACCACCTGCCTCTATTTTGGTCACCTTGCATCTCCAGCAAACAGCCGTGAGCTCCGGCTGCAGCTCATCCTAGGAGCTGGGGGCTTTGCACCATGCAAAGGGGAKGCATTTTCCCTCTTTTTTTTAGCATAAATCATTGCCAGAAAGGGCAGATCTGCAGCAATTCCCTCACTGTCAAATGCAGTTTTAAAGCACATGTGCAGCAACTGGGCAAAAGAAGAAAGTTACGTCCAGTAAGGACATCCAAGAGGAGTCTGATGACCCGTGTGTGGATGTCCGTTTTCCCTAGTCCCGGATCCTCCAGCTGCCCCATTCCAGCATCTCCAGGCGCCCCAGGGGCCACCTTGCCCCGGTGCCACCCACGGTGCCACCAACCTCCTCCCGCCGGAGCGCGGGGGGCAGAGGCTGTGGGGAAGCGCGGGGCTCCTCGGAAGCGCCGGAGCAGGAGGCAGGAGAGAGCCGCGAGCCGCTTACCTTGTCGGCGGGGAGCCGGCGCGCGTGCCGCCGCGGGAGGAAGTGCGAGGGACGTCCGTGCGTCGGTCCACCCGGCGCCGCGCTGTGTTTACATGTGGCGGTGCCACCAGGTCCCCAACACTCACCTGCCAGCAGCCCCAGGGAGCCCCTTCCTTCCTCCTCCTCCTCCTCGTTGCCATGCGGCTCTGGTCCCAAGAAGGAAGTTTGGGGCTTTGCTGGGCAAAATCCGCAGCCCCGGGCTCCGGGCTGGCTCGCAGATGCTCCAGCCCAGCTTCCTGAATCCATCAGTGCCACCGGGCTGCTAGAGCGAGCAGCTCGGATTCAGGCAGGGATGATCCCGAATTATCAGTCTTTCCCACATGTGCCTGTGGCCGTGGATRCTCATTCCCATGGCTTGTCCAAGGAGGTTGGTAAATGCTGGGTTTTCTATTGTCAGCTGTTTATTTTGGGATTATTTCTATGCGCTTCATGAGAAGTAAGAGGGTGCTTTTGGGCAAGACTGCAGTGTTTTTGGGCACATCCTGTGCAGCTGATTCCGAGTAGCTCGTTAGCTCGTTAGCAGTGGGGAGGTGCTCGCTGGAACCAGCTCTGCCAAAGCACGCAGGACTGATGTGTTGTGGTGGTGGGATTCGTCTGCCTGACCCTCTCCCTGTCACTCCTTCATCCCTCCCACAGCTGCCACTAGGAGAACTCACTGATTTGAGTAACATCCTTCATAGAAAAGCAATATAGGGATAATGTTCTCCTATCCTAAACACAAGGATGTTGCCTGGACTTGTGCAATACTYGGCTGAAAGATTGCATCTATTCAGAAAGCAGGGCTGGTACCAGGAGGACCGACCTGAACCTTGCTCTTTCCTCCCAGCTTCCTAAGCCAGTTATCCCAGAGGAGGRCAGTGGGATGCAGCCTCTTTGGCTCCCCAAATTGAGTTTACTCGAGAGACTCTGCAGACAGCTGCACTAATTGCTGCTGTACTTTCCCCCCTATCTAACYGCCCTCGCTCTGTGGGTAAAGCTCAGATTTGCATAACATGCCTAAAACTATCCCTGCTTTTGGTTTTGGCTTATCGGCAAAGGAATATCCAGCTACCGGAATGAGCCGCAGAGCTCGGAGCAGCTGCTCAGCCTCCGCGTGGTGGCTTGTCCTGCTGTCCCCTGGGCCCTGTGCTGGCCACTCAGCTGCAGGACGGACAGACAGACGGGTTCAG